GGGAAAGTTTTTGAACTTGTCTACAATCCAATCAGTTCCAGCAACTGGGTCTTCAAGAAAATCACAACAAACAGCATGTTTGGATAGTGAGATTTCAATAGAATGCCTGTGTCAACTAGGTCTCAGATCAACACCAACCCAGAACAGAATGAGTCCAACCAAGACCAGAGGGAAGATCACCCACTGAGAAATCCACACCATGGATTGAAAGAGAAGATGAAAGCGTTAACTCTCTTGTATGAGCAGCAAAAAAAATCCTCTGTAAGTCTCAAGAAGGAAGCAAATGAATTGAACCAGAGCAATGTGATGAAAGAGAACGCAATGCCCAATTCAACAGTCACAAGAGCATTTGTGTTGCCACAGCCTCCAATTGATGAAGAAAAGGAGAACATACCAGCGGCTAATGGTGATGGTATTGTCGGGTTTTCTTGCCCAAGAAAGTCCCCTGTTTCGACCACGGCTGTGAGGAAGCTCTCAATTGGGAGCTCTGTTTTACCCCAATCTGATCCCAGAGGGGTTGCAGGGACCCAAAATGTGAATGAATTGCAGGCGATTTTGGAGAAACAGAGCACAGGGGGTAGTAGGATTCTTGTGTTTGTGAGGCTTAGGCCTATGGCCAAGAGAGAGAAAGAAGGAGGGTCGAGGAGTTGCGTCAGAATTGTGAACCGGAGGGAGGTTTATTTGACGGAATTCGCAACAGAGAATGATTATCTCCGGCTTAAGAGGCTTCGGGGGAGACACTTCACGTTTGATGCCTCGTTCCCAGACTTAACTACTCAACAGGAGGTTTATTCAACTACGTGAGTTTGAAAAAATAAAAAATAAAATTGATCTTTTTATTTTGTTCTAGTTATTCATAAGCTGAATTATATTCAGAAGAGAAAGAAACTAAAATGTTGTTGTTTAATTTCATTAATCCATTTCTTTGCTTGTGTCGTTCTGTAGTTTTATGTTTTTGAGGGAAGATTGTGCTCTACATAAACTTGGTGCTAATGTTTTTACTCACCATTTTGTTACTATTTATTCTTTCAAGTTGTTTGTCATCCCTCTTACTTTAGGATGTGTTTAGATCATGGATTTGGATAGATATTTGGAGTTGTTTCCCTTTCTAATTCAGCCACCTTTTTTCTTTTCATTTCCAGATCCCTATCCAGATCTATAATCCAAATGCAATCTTATGTGTTTTAGACTAATAATAGCTCATACTTTCTATAGCTCCCCATTTCTTTGTTATTTTTTTTTTTTGATGACCAAGTGTTCGGGTCAGCACCCCTCCGGAGTGTCGCACCTGTACTAATCTCGGGGCCTTAAGCTGATCGACCAGGCAAAGACGCAGTGGCCAGCCAGTAGCTAGCTAGGGGTGAGATTCGAACTTGAGACCTAGAGAGGAGCATACTCCTAACTTCCTCGTCCCTTGCCCTCAACCAACAAGGCTATCCTTACGGGTTCTGTAGCTCCGCATTTCATTTGCATTTATTCATTCATTTGCTATTGTTCATCTCTGGTTTCAATTTTTTTTTTAGAAATATTGTGCTACATACATTTGGTGCTAATATTGTTACTCAGCATTTTACTCCTCCTGCTTTCTAGTCGTTTGTCATTCTTCTACTCCAGGGGTGTGTTTGGATTTGTGAAAGGATTTGTAGGGGGAAAAGAAAATGGTAGGGAAAATGAAATGAATTAGAATCTGAGTCTTCTTCCTATTAGGGGGAGGTAACGGTAACAATAGAATAGCCAAGTATTTTGCAGTAATCAATGCTTATATTCAATTTTCCTTTGAAGTAAATCATAATGTCTATGAAACTCAATGTTAATGTTCTCCAGATTTCAACACAAGCCATGTATTCCAATTCTCTAATTCTGTCAATCTAGGTTGTGTTTGGATCATGAATTTTCATAGGAAATTGGAAAGAGAAAAGGAAAAGGTGGGTGAAATATAGCTATATTTCATTCACATTTCACCCACCATTTCTATTTTGATTTCTGAATCCATAGTCAAATTCATGATCCAAACACAGCCATAGTGATATACTGTTTTTCCTCCAGACATACTCAAGCATGATTTATGATCAAAGTTGTAAGAGGATAATGGATACAAATTTCTCTGTTACATATCTTACTTGGTAGTCGAAAGTATCTGTTACTTATTAATAAATTTTGAACCTAAAGTACTTGAACTAATGAACACAATTCAAATTCTTTATTGTTTATGAAATTAGTGTTTTAAAAAAAATTCCTTTGGAGATTATTTGATAGACAATGGGGAATTTAAGAGGTATGCATGATGATTTTTTTCAGAACTGCAGAGCTTGTAGAAGCTGTTTTACAAGGGAGAAATGGGTCAGTTTTCTGCTACGGTGCCACAGGAGCTGGAAAAACTTACACTATGTTGGGCACGGTGGAGAATCCAGGAGTGATGGTTTTGGCAATTAAGGATCTTTTCAACAAGATTAGGCAGAGGAGCTGCGACGGTAATCATGAGGTTCATCTATCCTACCTTGAGGTCTATAACGAAACTGTTAGAGATTTGCTTTCTCCAGGAAGGCCACTAGTCCTCAGAGAAGATAAACAGGTCAGCTTGAATATTTCACAACAACAATTAATTTTTTTCACCAAACTAGTTTTTAAATTTTAGATAGCAGATTTTGAAAACTTTACCAAACAGAGAGAGACATTCATAGTTAGTAGTTGGTTGATTTGAAGTTAAAGACGAGAGCAAGGGAGAAAATAGCTGTTGTTTTGCTTCCAAGGAAATAATTCTATGTTTCGTTAAGTTTACAAAATCTATTTTTTGAAAAAAATTTCAAAAACTAGTTTGGTGAAGAAAAAAAAATGAAAAATAAAGAAACACTCTTAGGTTTTGTTGCTTTCAAATTCATTTTTTGCAACAGACAATGGACTTCATCTTATTTGTCATAATTTAACTATCAAATGGATAGTTATGGACTTTATTTATTTTTGTTTTGTTTTGTTTTTGTTTTTTAGTGTGCATAATTTGATTATGATATTTACATTTTTGAGTGATAATTGAAAGAACAAAAATCTCAAATGTTTCAGGGGATTGTGGCACATGGTCTTACTCAATACAGAGCTTATTCCACAGATGAAGTAATTTTCCTACTCTCCTGCTCTATGGCATATAATGTTATATTTACTTCACTGATTGGAAGATTAGTTTTTTTATTTTGTTTACACCGTGACAGGTTATGGATTTGCTCTTACAAGGAAACCAAAACCGAACCACTGAACCAACTCGTGTCAACGAAACTTCTTCACGCTCCCACGCTATTCTACAGGTAGTTTGCAAACACTATTTTGCTCTTTCTGGACTCTTCTGCTATTTTCTTAATCTTTTTTTCCATGTTAAAATCAGGTTGTGGTTGAATATCGAGTTAAAGATGCTTCCAACAATGTTGTCAACCGAGTAGGGAAGCTATCACTTATCGATCTTGCAGGTTCAGAAAGAGCTCTAGCTACTGATCAAAGAACGCTTCGATCACTTGAAGGTGCGAACATAAATAGGTCACTCTTGGCACTGAGCAGCTGCATCAATGCCCTTGTAGAAGGCAAGAAACACGTCCCATACCGCAATTCCAAGCTCACACAACTGCTTAAAGACTCTCTAGGGGGAGCTTGTAACACTGTTATGATTGCCAATATCAGTCCAAGCAATCTTTCGTTTGGTGAAACGCAAAATACCCTTCATTGGGCTGATCGAGCCAAGGAAATCCGAACAAAGGTTCACCTTTACCTTCTAAGATTCTCGTTCTTGCCCGCCTTCAATCTTTTGCATCATTGTCATTGAATTTCCACTTAAATCCTGTATGATTTAGTAAACATTATTTCCACTCCCATCTTATGAATTACAGGCATACGATGCAAATGAAGAAATACTGCAAGTACCCGAATCTGAAACAGATCAGGCTAAGCTATTACTCGAATTGCAGAAAGAGAATCGTGAACTACGTGTACAATTAGCTCGCCAAAAACAGAAGATACTAACTATCCAGGCACAATCATTGGCAGCAAACGCCTCGCCAACCCCTTCTTCTATTGCCTCTCACTTATCTACTCCACTCTCTACCCAACCAAACAAAAAACTAAAACCCAAATCAACTTTCTTGGCTGGGAATTGTTTCACACCAGAATCGAAGACAGTTGGGGAGCTTCAGCGGGCGGTGAAGGCTTTGGAGGCAGAAATTGAGAAAATGAGGAAAGGTTATGAATTGCAGATAAAGCAGAAGGATGAATTTATTCTTGAGCTTTCGTTGAAGCGTGCAAAAACAGCGACTGGGGAGGAGGGGATGATGAAGAGAGTTGTCACAAGGGAAAGTTTGCGGCCAAAGAAGAAAATTGAGGGTGAATTGAAGAGCTCAAGTCAACGGTTTCTATCTCCTGCAGCAACAGCTAAGAAACGCAGTTTTTGGGACATAACAACAGCTAATAGCCCATCAGTTATGACATTAAATGGTCGAAAAACTAGAAGCCATGTCAATGATGAATCGAAAGCAGCTCGCTCCATGCTTCTTCAGGTATATTTTCCCTCCTATCTTTTTGTGGAAATTGATTGGCTTTGGCTCAAAAGATCAATGTTCACATTCACACATGCATAATATGAACAACAAATTCAAAAAGAGAATCATTAGAGGCCCCATCAAAAGTTATTTCTTGCCCTTTCAAATTATATCTCCCTCTAAATTAGGCAGCAAAGTACCAAGAAAAACCTCGTCCTACCATCTGTATAGTGGAGTTCAAAATTAGGGATGAATTTTTCGGGATTTCTGTTTCTCTTTCTTGGAAGAAAAAGATTGAAACAACTGCTCAAAATTTCACCTATACCTTTGAGAATTTTTTTTTTTTTTTTAAAAAAAAAATTGAATTTTCTTATGAAATGTTTATTATTATTAGTGTTTAATATTTTAAATATTTGCTCGATTTTCTTTCCTACTACTACTTGCAACTTTCATATCCATGCTTTCGGTTTGTGTTTATTCAGCCAGGTTTTGCGTGTCAGAGGACGAAAAGAGGATGATGAGCTGGTTGAGTGATCAAGTCCAAAATGATTGAAGATATGGCCTTACTCAGCACTTTTATTCTTTCTTGCAATATTTTTTCTCCTTGATTATTATTTTTTATTTTTTGTGAATTTGATCAACCAAAAAGCCTCATGGTGAAAAACTTAATGTGGATTGCTTGTTATGTTATTGTCATAACTTAAATATATGTTGATTTCTTTCATTTAAACTCACGAATGTATATAACCTATGAGCTGATCTTCCTAACTATTGGATTTGGGTTGATTGGAGGACAAGAACACATCAAAATGAAAATTATATTTATGCATTCTTAATTTTGCAGAAGAGAAACGTACCAAAGTTTGAAAACGAGGTTTTTTATGGTAACATATTTCTTCATGGATAAGCACTTGACCTAAGAGTTTTTTAAGGTATTGGTCCAAAAACATTCTGTTTAGTTTGAAGTTTTTAAAATTCATTTTTTGAATTTTTATCCATATTTTTATTTAGTGATTTTTTTAACATTTTAATCTATATTTTGGTTTTTACTTTTTATTTCACTTAATTTAGATATCCTTAAAAATACAAAATTTGTACAAAAATATTTAAATAATTTATTGAATACAACAAAATACGAAAATATGTACTAAAAAATCTTCAAAACGATTTTTTTTTTACTTCAGTTTTTTTTAACCACCACCTGCCAACAAATTAAGCGTGTGTTTGAGTTAAGTTAATTTGAGTTAAAGCCATATGACATACAAATATTTTTGTAACATGTATAGTTGATTCTCGAATTTGTTGGAGTTAATTTGCAGCTAATTTAAGAATTGAACTGTGACCTTTCATGAATTGAACTACTCAATCTCTTTAATCAGGTTGATTTGATTTCTCAAACCACTCAGTAACAACTATGTTATAATAATTATATATTTATAAATAATATTATTGAAACTCATTAAATTAATACAATAATTTAATAGTGCACATCACATAATAAATAAAATATGATAATCATAACATTAATCTTATATATGACGCCAAAGTCAACTATTAAAAGTTTCCATAGCACCAAAAGAAGAGTTTCATACCCAATATGTTTTAAAAACTGGGTAAGAAGAGTTTCATACCCAATATGGTTTAACAACTGGGTATAATAATGGTGAATTTTTTTTTAAGATTCCTGATATTGAAATTTTATAAGATAAAGAACTTATAATATTTTTATAGTAGTTAAGGTACCTCAACATTTTTACAAAGAAAATTTAATTCAGAGAAATTTTGCCGACTCAGAGAAATTTCGGTCTCGACACAAAAAATTTCAATTTTTACAAAGAAAATTTTCTGATTTCACAGAGAAATTTCACCAAATTTAGAGAAATTTTAGCTCTGACATAGAGAAATTTCAATTTCACACAGAAAAATTTTATCGAGAAATCTTAACTACTAATAAAAAAAAATATTGAATCTCTTATACTATACAAAGTTAGAGAGGAATGTTTCACTAATTTTTTCTATAATTTAGATGGGTATAATTTATTTTTAGAGAAAATTTATACAAAATTAATTACAAGAATAATATAATAGCATTTATGTAATTAAGATGATTTTTTAATTTTAAAATGATAGACTTGTAATAATATCACATTATTCTATATAATTTTATTTTATTTTATTTATTTTTGCATAGAGCATTACTCAATATATATTTGGTTTTAACTCCTAAGTGAGCAATTCAAATAATAATAATAATAAATAAATAAATTGGCAGTCAACAAAACAACAATGATTCATCCCACTAAAAACATCACCACTAATAACACTAATGCATTAAAAAAGTAAAAAAAAAAAAAAATACAACTCCAAGACCAAAACACCACATCATTAATGACGAGACCCACTGCTACCTAATTAGTGGGAGCACTAATTAGTGCTCCCAAGCATTTTTCGTCAACAAAATGAAAAGCTAAATCATTCTCTCCTGCAGGCTAAGCTGTCAGATGACAAATTTTCCATTGATATGCTTTTGTAGACTTTGTCTTCAATAAAATATTTTTTTTGAGGATTCTCATGTTAAATATTCGATCATTGCTAGCACTAAATTCAATGATTGGGAATATCTAATACCGTTTTTGAGGAATATAAAAACAATTATATTAAAATAAAACAAACAGGAAAATAAAAACAAGAAAACATACCTATTTGCCTAAAACAAAGAGCATACCATCTTTTGACCCCGTTTAGTAGAGTTGTGAAAAAGTAATTATAACTTATAACTTAACAATTTATAATTTATAATTGTAAACATAAGTTGATTTTTGACTTATAAACTCACCCACTCAAAGAATAAGTTAATTTTTGACTTATAAAAAACTATAAACTGTATTGTTAAACTGAACCAAATACATTTAAATAGTTTGAATTAAGATAAAAGCTGAAATAAGCCCTACCAAACAAGGCCATTGGATCATATGTCAACATGTTAAATGGAATTCATAACCTATTTGCCTAAAGAGAAACCTACGCTATCACTCACGCTATGTTTGGTTAAGGGTTTTAGGAAAAAATTTAGAAAGGGAAAAAGAAAAGTTAGGTGAAATGAGAATAAAATATACCTGTATTTCATCTAATTTCACACTTTTTTTTTTTCTATTTCTAAATTCCTCTCTAAATCCTCTAACCAAACATAACATTAAAAAAAATAAAGAAATCTAAAGTAAAAGAAAGGAAATAAAGAAAAAGAGGTTTGAACCTATCCATAAAAAAGAACTTGTTTCACATGTCGTACAAATGAAACTCCTGAAGTTCTTTTTGTAGTCAACATAATTTTTAAAAAATTTCTTCTTGTAAAATAACAAAATTAGGATATGAGATAACAATTTGACTATTTTCATTCCAAAAATAATTTAATTTTTTCCTTCTAAGAAAAATTGAAAGTTAAATTATCATCATGCTCATATCTTACAGTTTTCATCACTCCTATATAAACAATAGAATTTTTATTTTTATTTTTTTTTCATCCTCATTTATGTTAGCCAAACTCACTCTTTTTATATCACTGGGGCCGTTTGGTAGAGAAGGATCTTAACAAGCGTGACTTAGGTTCGACTCTTAGAGGAGCAAAATATTGAGTAATTTCAGTGGTTCTCTTTGAAGAACTCGCTCTGTACTCTAATCAAATCCTGGACTCGTGTCCCTTTCTTTGGGTTAGGTTAAATCAGGTTGGCAACTGATTATTTTGGAGTCTGGGCCCGTTCTGTACTCTGATCGAATCTTAGACTCATATCCCTTCTTTTGAATTTAGTTAAATCAAGCTGGCAATCGGTTACTTTGAGGCCTCGGTTCATGGATGTAGTGATAATACCTCAGAAGATTCAAAAAAAAAAAAACTCACTCTTTTATGGGTCATTTCCCTCACTATACAGCTTGATCATGTAATGCACAATGTTCAAAGAACACCGATACTCACAATGACCTTGTAAATTGCTTTGTGGAACAAAATACATCAACTTAAATTCCATCAGAAACACATATATATAGTGTTTTCCTCATCATAAATGCTATGTAAATTTTTTTGCACTTCAATCCAAGAGAATTTTAATGACTCTGAAAAAACAGAATCACACAAAAACACTCAACACTCAGAAAGCAAATACAGATGGAGAGAGAAAGCATAAGATACCAAGAGTTCTCATTTCGTCAGAGTTCAGACCCCAATATTGCATAATTAGGGACCAGTATGAAGAGTTGATCATGTTTGCATTTACCTATTGCCATACTTTCATCCTTATACATAGCCAAGGACACTTTGTTCCCAAATTTTTCTATTTCTTCGCCTTAAAAATTTTACAATCATTGAATTATGTGAGAATATTAAGATATGATACGAGAATCGTGATGCATAGTCCAAGCGTTACGAGTATTTTGTGACACAAGAACAGAGTAATTTGAGATGAAAATCTCGCTACATAATTCAACAACTACAAGTGTTTTGTGATAGAATAGAATAACACATAAATTAGAGACATAAGATCCGGTGCCCATACATAATGCCTCCAAAGTCCTTCCTACCATTGTACAATTGAGATTATATACATAAATCTTTATCATTCCAGCCAAAACGAAAAACAAATACCCACTTTTCCATTTCTAGAGAGAGAGAGATTAGAGAGAACTAGACCTCCATGTTGGCTCAAGAGCTACCATTAGTTTCATCACTACTTAAGTCTAAAAATACTGGGAAAAAAAAAAAAAAAAAACCCTAAGAAGCTGATCAGAGTTTCCATGGCAGGCTTATTAGACTCTGAGCAAGTAAATACTAAGTTCAGGAGCACCGTTACTATCTGGGTTCATCATATAAAAAGCCTCAGAATCTCTAGACCCAACAACCCTTTCAAACTTGGCCCTCATATACATAACTTCACCACCGTCGCTGCCACCATCGCCACCAAACTCTTCTCCTCCACCACCATTATTCTCTGGCAAGACACCAGCACCCATTGAAATAGGCTCCACAGCTTTCAACACCTTCCACTCCTTGGGACCGCACTCTCTCCTGGTCGCAAACCCACACTTCTTCCCATTACAGTAAGTTCTCCACCGTGACTCCTCCAGCAGCAGCCGCCTCCTCCTCCTCCTCCCCTTCCCCGTCCTGACTGCCTTTTTCTCTTCCTCCTTGTCCTCTTCCTCATCCTTATCGCACTCCAGTGCAATTCTGACCAATCCGGAAGCCATTTCCCGGACCAACACGCTAATCGGAGTAGCGAGTTGGATCAAGAAGGCAGGCTCCGAGTTGGCATCTTTTTGAAATGCAAAGTGCACGTGCCCGTGCCCATGTCGGTATCCAAAAAGGGTACCGATAACTTTTGGGCCTAAGCCCAATGGCCAGTGTGATTGGTTCTTGCCAAACACAGCGAGAACCGATCGCAGCCTGGAAACTGCCATTCCCTGGAGTTTCCTTCTTTGTGATTCTTTCCTTGGCACCTTATCAGACTCTTCTTTTTCATGCTCAGGCTTCAAGGTTGGAGCTGTTTCTTCTTCTTCTTCATTAGTAACCTTGTTTGTCCAACGGAAGTGGGTTTTGGAGGAGAAGTCCTCAGAGGTCTTTGCCATGCCTGTCTTCATCTTTGAGAGCTAATCAATGGGTAGGCAGTACCTTGAAGATTTGTGGGTGGAGAGAGAGTGATTCTGATATTTTCTTAGGATTGTGGGGTTTCCATTTATTGCTTTGTCCAATAATGTCAGGAAGGAAAATTATTGCATCCTCTCAAAATTACTATATGGTACTCGTGTCTAATGGGAAATTGCAACATATACTAATACTGTATTTAGTTAGAGGATTTAAAAAGTAGTTCAGAAAGGAAAATAAAAAAAATATGTAAAATTTGAATAATACATACTTATATTTTATCTAATTTTACATATTTTTTTCGTTTTTAAAGCTCTACTCAAATCTCCCAACCAAATACAACGTAAAAGTAGGTGAGTCAAATCACAAAAAGGCAAATCATATGTGTGTGGGTCCTACACCCATGTAAGAGGTTTGATAAAAAATAACAATAATTGAGACTCCCATTTTTTAGAGACCTCCACAACTCCCTTTGGATCTCTACCATATATGGTGTGGGCCCTACACATAAGTCTCATACAAACATTAATGATGGAGATCCAAAAGGAATTGTAGGGATCTTCAAAAAATAAGAATCTCACACATTTTTCGATAAAAAATTTAATAATTTATATAAGATTCCTAACATAACTCTTTGTGTAAAGGTAAATGAATTATCATTTGTCTTCCCACTACTCTTAATAAATATAAGTGAGTCAACTTGTTTTATTCATAATTTTTGTTTTTATTATGTAATTAATTTGAAACACTACCTACATAATCTAACATAATAGTTCAAGACTACTAAATAATTACTCATTAGGTAGATCATATTTTAGTACCATAATTTATTTATCACTTTATGTGTCAACGACATTGGATCCTCTGTCCTAAAATTTCTCTCTCCCTTTATCTCAAAATACAACAATTAAATCATATTTTGAAATAATCACAACTTGAATTTTTCAATAATCAAATGGTTCTAAGTATTTTGAGACAAAGAGTACGAAGATTTAGGAACAGGAATCCTTGGCCTGTGTCAACACTATCTTGACTTAGCATTCGTTTGAAATGTCGGTTGACTTTTTAATTTTTTAGCTTTTTAACTATTTAAATTGGGATTAAAAAGTCTCGTTTGAGATAGATTTTTTGACTTTTTAAATTTTTTTTAGAGAAAAAATAAAATGATTATGGTTTGAATATAACATTTTGTTTTATTAACTTTTTAACTTATCTTATTTTTTTATAACTAAAATATCAAAAAAAAAAAAAACTCATGCCAAACATAGCCTAACAAGTTTCAGACCACTCATACTTGTTATCATTATTAATATGAAAAATGACAAATAAAATATGATAAAGATTGTGATTTTCACAAGATTATTGTCATTTGATAGTTTATAGTCCTTTGTTGTAGTGGAAGAGAATCCTGAAAAAGTAAACATAATCTATCAAACCAACCATAGTAGCAGTAAAGAAAAAGAGAGAAGTTTTGAGATGAAGGAAGAAAGAAAAGAATCTGACTTAAGTATCTAGGGAGACAATGTATGTGTTATTTCACTTTCCATGTGACTTAGGGAGCAAAAGCAATTGTCTGACTCTGATGAGATGAGACTCTTTTTTGGGGAACTGAATCCAGACACAGTAGAAGGGGAGGGAAGGTCACAAAAGCAATAGGGAAACACAGAGGCATCCATCCTTATTCACCCCAGACATGCTTCCAACACAAACACACACCATTCTGTAACCATGTCTTTTTTTCTAGTAGTGTTTGTTGTTGTTAAAAGTTCTAGGGTTCCAGAAATTCCATGTTCTTATGAATAAAACAAGATAAATCTTACAACGATAAGATTCTAAGACTGTGTTTGGAATATAAATTTAGGTAAAGATTTGAAAAGAATAATAAAAAAATGTATGAAATATAATTATATTTCATTCATATTTTACCTATCTTTTTCATTTTTCTTTGTAAATTTCTATCCAAATCTGTGATTTTAGCATAACCTAATCAAAACATCATGCTCAATAAAAAAATTCCAAAAAAAATAACCTAATTCCTAAGATGCAACAGGATCTCCAATGCTGGTAAGCATTTTACCTATATCTAAACATTACTATAAAGTTTACATTTTACTTTGTCTATCAACTGTTTTATGTTTCTACTCCAACCATACTCTTTATTTTAGCTATTTAACCAAATACTATTAACTTTATAGAATGTACATTAATAATAAAGATGAAGAGAAATGATCCTAATGATTAAATACATTTTGCCTAACCTTTGAAGGCTAACTACATGTAGCTAATAAATGGGAGTTGAGTTAAAATGCCTAATTATATGACTAGTGCATTGGAGTTGAAAAAAATAAATTATATTAGGTATTTTAACTAACAAACATATACGCCTAATAAATTAGAGATACTTATGTTTAGATGATAGATTTGGATTGGGATTCATTTTCTAAATTCTTATTTAATTTCATAGATGAATCACAGTGTTAATCATTTTCTAATTTCTTACTTAATTTCATAGATGAATCACAGTATTAATCTTCGAATAAATTTCAAATTTCTTATCAAATAAATAACTAAGCATTTCATATAAGTATGGGTTCTATAAAATTACAGATTTCACACTCATATGAGATAACTAACCATTTATTTAATAAAAAATTTAATATTTGTAGTATTATCCATCGTCAAATGAGCATACATTTCACCTACCTATAAAGTGACACCACATTGGTTCAGTGGTGCCAACTTAATAACCCACATTTAATGTCCTATCAGAAACAATAGACAAATCAATCAAAAGCACACTCATTTTTTTGAACAATTAATGCTACAAATCTCATGAGAAAAAATCAATCCCTTTGCGGGTTTACATTTTTTTTTTTTTTTGATTTTTTTTTCCCTTACTTTTAGTATTTTTTGATTTTTGCTGAATTTTTTAAGTAATTTGTAGACACACTTAACATAAATATACTTAAAAAATATAATTTTTCTGAAAAAAAAATCTTTAAAAAATTTACTAAATACCAAAAATATAAAAATTCAATATATTTTTCGTATTTTTGTGTATTTATTAATTTTTAAAAATATTTTTTCACAAATATTTTACTTTTTAGATACATTTAAATAAGGTGCATCTAAAAAAATTAAAAAAATACTTAAAATTTTTAAAATATTTATTAAAAAAATACAAAAAATAAAAATTTTAATTTTTAAAAAATTAAATTCAAAAAACTGAAACCAAACACGCTGAATAAAACTCTTAAAATTTCACATTACTGATCAAGATTCTAAATAGAATGTGACCTCCCAATAATATCTTTCAATACATATTATTGATTTGAAATCCATACCAATATTCTCAATATTTTATCTGGTATCATAGACTTTTCAGTTTTAGCAATATTCTCAATATTCAATACCATCATCAGTGCACAATTCATATATAACGTTTAGTTCATTGTAATAAAACAAAACAAAATGCAATGATCAAATCCCCTTTTTTTTTTTTTTTTTAATATATAAAATGATCAAAATCCCTTTTATCTTATAAAATGATTATTACGTTGTAATGATATTTCGTTACAATGATGGTAAATGATGATTTTATTTTAAAAAAAAGTATATACTTCTTTTAGTAAACAATACACAATAATGAACATTACCATAGAATAATCATTCTATTTCTCAATTACACTTCTTTCAATTAGATGTAATCTACTCTAATTTATGATACTATCTGCTCAGAATTACGATAATAACCACATCAAATCAAAATTGTTGTTTATAACTTTCGAGTATATCACATTGTCACTTAGAACAAGCGGAGTTCAGAATTATTTTGGTTAGTTTGATTTTTCAAATTATTTTTAATTAAATTTTTATTTGTTGTTAATGAACTTTTTTTATTCCCCTAAAAAAAATGATTTTTTTTTTTTCATATTTTTTTGAACTTTTTAAATATAATCTAAATGCTTCTACAAAAATGATTAAAAAATAAAAATTTACTAAAAACAAAAAAAAACTCGTCATCTAATGCTTCTAAAAAGCCAAAATGAAAATGTTTGGTAACCCAAAATTTTGTGGCTCAAATGGCTCAAATCTGTCAAAACGACGTCGTTTTGAGTGATTTGAGCCACAAAATTTTGAACTACCTAGCATTGTTGAAAACAAAATCACTGAAGACTGAAAAAAAATCTGTCTAAAAATAATTTCTGAAAAATTAAAACAAATGGTGCCGTAACCAAACAGAACATGCTCCAGAGATTCAACAAGATCCTAATTGAGACCCATTGTGTAACAGCACCAAATTGAAAATCCATCATGCAATTGATTTAACTAGCGACCAACATATTCAGCATTCATGCCCCCATTTGTGTTAACTTACCATTTAAAAAATAATAATAATTTAGAAGACAAAAAAAACTGGTCACAAATTTAGAGCAGACAAATTTAAGTGTCAGACACATCTATACTAAATGTGGTCACAATGGTGACCAAGCCTTCCAGCCAAAAAAAAAAAAAAAAAAAGAATAAAATACAAGTAAACGTCATAATTCTGAAATAGAAGTTTGAACCCACTAATTACAATAATATATAGACATATATAATTCATAAAAGTACAAACAAACTCAAACAAATCTAGAGAATTTCAGTAGAGACTAGCCAAGGGCATTTTTGTACATAACTAGGAGAAAAAGACAAAAAAACACAGATGGAGAAGAACATATGGAAGTAAGACGCTTGCCTATGGTTCAAGACTAAAAAAGAGAGGGTCCTAAAGTTAGCTATTCACACCTGGTTTGAGTTCCGGTTGTTTGGGGATTGTGGCTTCGGGTTCCGATTGTTTAGGGACTGTGGGTTCAGGGTCCGGTTGTTTTGGAGTTGTGGCCCCACCATTCATTCTTGCCCGTGCCTCGGCAAACATCCTCTGCTGCTCGGCCAATGCTTCTTCCTCTGTCATTTCGGCAACATTGTTCCATTTCCCACTTTTTAGCGTGTCCTGCTAGAATGAATTTCCAAAAGAATAATCAATAAGCATGGTTGTGGAATGTAGAAACTGCATCGATGATCAAATGTAAGATCACTTTTCCCATTCATCGCATCCATTTAACATCTAATGAAAATAATTAGGGATAAGTGGAATAATTTAGATGTGGTGGAATCAGATAAACCAATGACTAAATCCAGACAGACAATCTGGTATACCAGTTCAATACATTTGCCTATCATTAGTCTTGCCATAGTTAAATGTGAAAAGGATCATGTAAAAATTGATAATTACCATAGTCTCGAGCCTGTGTTGTTCATATGCAGCATAAACCTCTTCAATGTATTCTCCAAAACCAAGAACCTGACAGACAACCACATTTGTCAGGACAACCATGTGTCTTTAGCATCAAGACAAATAAAATGAGGAGATGGTAATATTCTGCACTTGGAGGAAGGAGGGGGGGCATGGAGTGTAAATGCACTAGATTCAATCTATTGCTAATCATATTTCACATCAAAATTGAGTATGCAAGACTCCTGGTTAAAAAGCTCAAGGAATGACTCTGTTCTCATTATCTCATAGAATAACAACAACAACAACAACAACAAAAAATCTCAAACTATTTGAATTCACGTTGATAATATTTACTACACAACTCTGAGACACACCAAATGCAATTTGGCTAGTCAACTTGGAAAATACGTTAAGGAAAAAGATTGAAAACCCTAAAAAAGCTCCCTTTACATGCCAACTTTTAATTTGTCAACCCCCTTGCCATCTCATTGTGGTGGGTAAATTGTGAGTTGTAAATTGTTGGTCTCTAGCATTCCTCTCATATGTAAAAGCTTGGCTGGAGAAACCACCTGTGTTATTTGTAGTCTCAGGACCTCCATGCTTATAAAAAGAAAAAGGTGCTTTTCAAGAATCCATTGAAAAGGAACTGACAAATTGATTCTGCTCTAGAATACCTCATATTGATCTAATTCTAGATAAGATGGACCCCGATAAAATGGTTTCCATGAATTACACAATAATGTGCATCTAATCTAACCTCCTAATGTGCCTAAAAGTAAAATGAAGATGCCTTCATATGCTTGATAATGATGGTAAAAAGAAATACAACGTGAAAGGTTCCAGGCCACTATAATTTGCAATACCGAATCAACAGCTGTACACACAAGAACAAAAATTGAACATAAAAAAAATACAGGATTTATCAAAAACCTCTAAAGCCTTGAGTACATGCTCTGGTGCAATTGTTCTCTTCTCTTCTCTGCTACAGACTTCATTGGACTCCGATGAAATAAGGTTTATGAACTCTGCAAGAAGAGCATAGAAGAAAGAAGTTTGTTCCTTGAGAACAATGTACAATATGAACTGGCAAATGAACTTAACAAGAGAGTACATCTAATTCTACATAGTGAGAAAATCCTTATGGAATGATATGTTAGGTAAGTGGATACAATATAAGTACTATAAATAATGGATTGCGTCAAATGTTTACAACACAGACAAATGTAATATTTACTACCAAAAAGGTGTATGGGCCATGAAACTCCAAAAACAAATTCCAGAAAATGAGCGATTGAATTCTTGTCATAAAAGTTATTATCTGAAATCTCCAAGTCAATCTAATATCAACAGAAAGGATATTGAAGTTAATCTAATAACTAAAAACATGATTCTTGAAACCAATAAAATCCTTTATGTTTATAGGAAAAGGCATTGCTTCTAGTAAAACACAAACACTTCTTTCACAGAAACAATATCATTATAAAGAGAAGTGAAAAAAAAAATGAGAGAGAAAGTTCCCCGAGGGATGGGGGATTGATAGATGCTGCACTGATACATTACAGTTGATACCCTCTTGATTACAAGGTCACTTCTAAATTAGCTTAAGTTCAACGTAAAAAGACCACTGAGCTGGGGGTACTACACAGGTTTGTCTTTTCCCAGTTGACCCTTTGTAAAGCCTATTTTCCATTCAAATCCGAACAAAAACATCCCATAATCCTTAATATGTACAACTTTTATAAAGACCTCAACCCTAGTCCTTAATCCTCCGAATGACATTAATGAAGACTAGTAATGAGAGGCTAGTTGTTGGCATCACTATGCTCGAATTAAAAGGAATGGACTTGAGCAAGATCGAAGTTAATGCCAAGAAGAATGCATGTCTAAACCCAAAATAATCTCAAAGAAACAAAGGAACATTTTCTTGCTTCCACACAAAATTCACAACAAATTCAACCTATGTGCCTTACAGAAAAATTCACACCACAGGAGCATAATATTGAAAACCTGATGACCATATGCTCTTGGAAATATCACTTACCCTCTCCACATTGTGACACTTGAAAGATCTCTTACTATAGAACTAATGAAATCAAAATGCTACCAAAAGCTTCCAACTGTCCAAGGTTCTTTATAATTTCAGCTTCTGAAGAAAATGAAAATAGATAAGAACTCAAAGCAAATTTGTAGTCTCCATCATAATCATCCCAAATTACAAGAATACAACCAGAAGATCCAAAAGCAAGGATGCAAACCAATTTGTAGGTGCCGAGGAAAAAATACTCTACTTTATCTTTTGCATCAACCACCAATAATTTTTTCCCCAAAAAACATCACAGCATCCATATGAGTTGCACAATGGATAATTTTGATAGTCCTCCCCTTCACAAGCTCACATACTCAAATCTAATTCAATAATCATAACCAAACTCAATTGCCCCTTTTGTCTCCTAAAAACCTCAAAGAAACACAATTGAAAATACAAGGTGCACAAGTTTGGAAGTTTCCTTGAATGATTATCCATCATAAAAAAGGTTCAACTTCAATTCTAACTACATATGTTCTCCAACGGATAGACAAAGCCTGGTTATCTCCTTTTTTAGTCACAAAGAAGTCAAGTATCTAATACAAAAAGTTGCTAGGACAGGTTGAAGTTATACTTAATAATCCCTCAATTGATCATCTGGTTATTAAACTAGAAATGCCCAACAAAACCTAGGACTGATGGGATTTGTGTGACAATCAAGCTCACGGCTTAATTTTTTTTTTACAGTGACACTGTTTTTGATGTCCCACTAAACTTGGAGATACAGCTACAACTGAAAAAACAACTTGTACATTACATACAATATGCTGAGGCCAAAACCAAATTAGCAATGGAGTTAATAGGACAAATAGGAGCAACATGAATGAGTTGATGCAGCGAATGCTCTCTTCTTTCTCTCTTTGTATTGTTTTAATTTCTTAATTTGTTTTATTTCTTTATTTATTATTTAATCATTTGTAATTTGAGGAAGTTAATAAACCAAAAATGCCTTCTTCCTGTGAAGGGTCAGTATTCCAGCACCCACTTCAGAAGAAAGATCGAAGCTCTAAAATGAAAAAAAAAAATCCTTTTAATGTACATTTCATCTAAGCTCTATTAATAAAAATCTCATAAGAACAACTCATAGAAAAATCAGTTACAATTGTGGGATATAGGGGAGAGGAATACCAGAAAAAATCTGAAGAATCACTTATCACTTGCTTGAGATCTTTTTTACGATTGATATCCTTCGCAAGCTTGTAATTAGGTAGAGTAAGGCATTCAACCACATGCAGAGGGAGAAACAAGCACATAACAACAATAGGGGAAAATACAAGTTAACAAAATGCAAGAAAGCGTTTGAAAGAAGATCCTAACTAGTCCTCCATTGATGAGAGATCTTCCAGTCAACTAGCAAACTTGTCACGTCATGACGACACCAGCGGAGCAGTTCAAGATTTATATCAGAAAAAATGTAAATTTTTGGAGATAAAATGTTCTGCCTCTCTCAACTTCCACTTATGGCTTATAATCAGAAAAATTCTTTAGTTCTAAGGCTAAAGTCCTTTATTGCATGATAACATGGTTAGGATGAATTGTAACACACTGTAATTAACTTTAAAGATTTCTCCTATACAAATAACAGAATTCTGCTTAATAGTCCTTGCAAGATCTAGTCATACAGATATTATTAGCATGCTAACACTTGCTTATCCTAATATATGGATTGTTTTTCCACCCTCTTCATCCAACATTTAGGGTTACATTATACCAAAAACTCAGAACTAGCTCTGCTTTGTCCCCTCACTGAGTCACTACCCTTAATTCCCATAAACCACAGTGCCGGACGTTTGGTCATACCTACATCATCTGTCCTCATGTTATGATCATACTGTTTTATAAGCTTCGTGATCATGCTTGTTTTGAAAATAAGATTCTCTTCACCAATCTACGAAGGCTCAAGGAGATAAACTTCCATGGAACTTTTGGTGCAATTACTATCAATCCATGACATTTTAGAATAGAAACAAAAACAAGAACCTAATCCGTCAAAAACACAAAAGGGAAAGGTTGTCATCAAGAAAATTGCTGCAGTCAACCAAACAAAGTTGCTACTAAAAATTTCCAGTTATATGCGACACGGCATAAATGAGAAAATAATATGACACTCATATCACTCAAGGTAACATTTGAAAGACTTCACAATCAGCGTGATAACGACAATTATAAAGTGCTGTTAATGTAAATAAAGAATTTATATGAAAGCTATGAAGTTCTATAATCAAATTCTCACCGACACAACACTCAATTAAGAGATCTTGAGCATCTCTTGCTACACGAACATCTGGAGGCAACATCTCCTTAATGATCTTAGTCATGGTTGCTGAAAGTACATAAGATGCATTAATTAAGCAAAACAATAGACTACCCCACTTAACAAAAGCAATAATACACAAAGCAAACAAACCAACTCAAGTAGAATGATATCCACTAACTTTGCTTGTAGTAGAACTCAGATAACAACCAAATGCATTGTAAATTTAACTAGTGGTGAAAATTAATGCACCTACAGACTCACAAAGAAAATGATATGCCTTTCATTCTCTTGGTATCATTCATCTTAGCAACAGTTTGCTTTCTGCATTAGGTTTACGAAATGCAAATGACAACCCACTTCAACTCAACAAGGTGTGAGCTTAATACGTTGAAAGGCTAATGAAACATTCAAAGGATACATCACATTAGCTAAGAGAATAAGATGCCCTAAATTAACAGATTAGCAAAGGGCATTGCAGCTAAGAAGACTATGAATTGAACCAAAATCGTAGAGAAAGAGCGCAAAACCATGAACCAACTGGGGTTAGCCAGAACCCCAGCACCTCATTAGGAGGTCATCGGTTCAAGTTCTTCCACTGGAAAGAATACCCCAACTGGAGACCATGGCCCTTGATGCACAAAAACCAGAATGCAAAAACATCATTAGGTAAAGTGTGTTGGCTTAGAACTCCTCTACTATTGTTTATGTTTTGTCAAATAGAATCTACTGCTACAAACAAAATTGGTTGTCTCAATTATAGTTCATGTGCAATATACAACATGGAAACTATTTAATTCTGGTTAAAGACCTTTTATTCCTTCCTTAAATGTCTCTGGCTTTAACCAAAGGTTAGTTTAAGAAACCAACACACAATTTGCTCCGAAACCATTATACACATGCCTAACAAAAATATGTATCAAAGTGGTAATTGAATTAAAAGCGGGCAAGTATCTGAAGCTGTAATGTAAGTTCACCATTACCCAATAACTTCAACAAGCATCTATAACTCAATTTGCTCACAACAAAATCAATGGCTATTTCCTTTTTGTTTCTTCTCATTTTTTGAAGAAAGTAAATTTCAATACGCTCTGTTTCCGTATTTTTTGGTGTTTGGTATAATGGAAAACGGAAGTCAACGGAAAATAGGCCTATTTGGATAGAAAATATTTTCCACTTTTAAAAGGTGTTTTGGACTAAAATCTTACCAATGTCACCACAGTATCACCCCCACTCTCACCTCCACCACCACACTACCATCACCATAGCCACAACCACGGCCACCATCACCGATGCTATGACCACCGCCATAGCCCCACCATCATGCCACCACCTCCACCTTCATTTTACCACTATCACCACCAAACATATAAAAATGTTTTCTCTCGAAAATATTTTCTAGAAAAAAAAATTCTTGAAAATGTTTTCTGCCCAAACAAACTGTGCGTAAATAATAATAATAATAATAAAATTGAAGTTTAAACAGTTCAGAAGTTGCTGATCTAAGGTTAATAATAATTAAAAAATTTAAAAACAATCAATTTTATGTGGCAGAGTTCCACTGGAAATCTGATTCATGAGAACAAACACAGTTTTTTTTTTTTTTTTTGATGCAGTTGGATTACAATAATGATAATAATAAGATAAAAATCGCACAAAAATGAACTTATTGAATCACAAAAATAATAATTATTATTATAAATACACAAACATACATAGGAAAACAGAAAACATAAAGGCAGACACATATAGATAGAGATTATATGTATGAATATGGATTAAGTAAGAAAAAATGACTATAATAAAGAAATAAAAGCAAACCTTTCGGAAGAGAAGCATCCTCTTTCGTCTTCCCAACGATGTCCATAGGTTCCATTTTCCTACCTTCACAAAGTCAAACCAAACCAAACCAAATCAAACCTCAATCGCAAAAGATCCAAATCAAACAAAACAAACACGTATATGAACGCATTAAACTCAAATTCAACAGATCTAAAAAGCCAAATCGATGAGAGAACAAAGAGTTGAAAAATTGACTCACCGAGATATCGAAAATTCTGAATCCAAAGATCGAACAGAGTGCCGAATCGAGAGAACCAGAAACGAATTGAATTAGAAGATCGAAGTTGCAGAGAGATCGGCGACCATATAGATAAAGTAGAGGAGGGAGAGAGGGAGGGGGTGTTGGGGATTTCGAAGGCGATTAGGGCAACATTTCTCTATGGCGCGTTGGATCTGGGTTTTTCACGCGCTTTGAGAGCGCGTGGGTTGGATCCACGAGTTTCTGGCTTTTGTTGTTGTTGGAGTGTGTGGTGCACGATTAAGGAGAGTGTGTGGGTGAGATTTGGCGATGAGACTTGTGGATTGTATATATCATATATATATATATATATGCTACTAGTGGTGAAAATTAATGCACCTACAGACTCACAAAGAAAATGATATGCCTTTCATTCTCTTGGTATCATTCATCTTAGCAACAGTTTGCTTTCTGCATTAGGTTTACGAAATGCAAATGACAACCCACTTCAACTCAACAAGGTGTGAGCTTAATACGTTGAAAGGCTAATGAAACATTCAAAGGATACATCACATTAGCTAAGAGAATAAGATGCCCTAAATTAACAGATTAGCAAAGGGCATTGCAGCTAAGAAGACTATGAATTGAACCAAAATCGTAGAGAAAGAGCGCAAAACCATGAACCAACTGGGGTTAGCCAGAACCCCAGCACCTCATTAGGAGGTCATCGGTTCAAGTTCTTCCACTGGAAAGAATACCCCAACTGGAGACCATGGCCCTTGATGCACAAAAACCAGAATGCAAAAACATCATTAGGTAAAGTGTGTTGGCTTAGAACTCCTCTACTATTGTTTATGTTTTGTCAAATAGAATCTACTGCTACAAACAAAATTGGTTGTCTCAATTATAGTTCATGTGCAATATACAACATGGAAACTATTTAATTCTGGTTAAAGACCTTTTATTCCTTCCTTAAATGTCTCTGGCTTTAACCAAAGGTTAGTTTAAGAAACCAACACACAATTTGCTCCGAAACCATTATACACATGCCTAACAAAAATATGTATCAAAGTGGTAATTGAATTAAAAGCGGGCAAGTATCTGAAGCTGTAATGTAAGTTCACCATTACCCAATAACTTCAACAAGCATCTATAACTCAATTTGCTCACAACAAAATCAATGGCTATTTCCTTTTTGTTTCTTCTCATTTTTTGAAGAAAGTAAATTTCAATACGCTCTGTTTCCGTATTTTTTGGTGTTTGGTATAATGGAAAACGGAAGTCAACGGAAAATAGGCCTATTTGGATAGAAAATATTTTCCACTTTTAAAAGGTGTTTTGGACTAAAATCTTACCAATGTCACCACAGTATCACCCCCACTCTCACCTCCACCACCACACTACCATCACCATAGCCACAACCACGGCCACCATCACCAATGCTATGACCACCGCCATAGCCCCACCATCATGCCACCACCTCCACCTTCATTTTACCACCACCATCACCAAATAAAAGAATAGTTATGTAAAACATATTTTTCGCCTAAATAAATAAATGGGGTGTGTAAATGAATTTTTGCTCTGAAGATTAACGGTATATTCTATTTGATATAATTGCTAAAAATATAATGACACTTTTCGCAACAAAAATATTTGATCCCCTTAAAATAATTTTGTCCCTAAATTTTGGTCTCTAAAACCTTAATGTTTTGTAGTGTGATAAGTGTTTTTTCCATTTTAATTTTATATTTCATAACTTATTTAAAAATGATAATTTAGCTAAACCTCAGGAGAATCTATAATTTAGCTAAACCTCAAGGGAGAATTTGTAATTTAGCTAAACCTCAAGGGGTGTAGATAATTTGTCCTTATTTGTCAAAAGGGCATTTTAGTCAATTTATGATATCTGTTAACGGCGTTAATTGTGACGAGACGATGTAATTTTTGAAACCTCAGGGGAAATCTATAATTTCATTAAACCTCAAGGGAGGTGTAGGTAATTTACCTGCCCAAAAATCAGGTTAAAAAAGTTCTTTCTAATCTTTGGATAAATTCTGATAAATAAATAAAAAATCTTTGGATAAATTAGAAAAACACAATTTGTTTAAAATATAAATTGTCTCTTATAATTTCAGAAATTATATAATGTCTCTTCAAATTTTTAATCACATAATAAATGATTATTTTATTAATAAATTATTAAATCAATTACCAATTTTTAATATGTCATAAATGTATTTCAATTTACGATTCAAATAATTTTATTATTGTACAAGAGCATAGTTATAAATTTTATTAAATAAAAAATTCTAATAATGTGGGTTTTGTAATTTTTAAAACCACTGTATTTTAATTAAACCTCATAGGTGCATTTGTATTTTACTTAATCCTTCTATCAAATTTTTATCAGATTAAGAGATAAATATTTTTTTGAGTAAATTATATTTACTCTTTTTATGTTTAGTTATTTTTTCGCTTTGGTTTTTAATGTATGTATTCTCCAATTTGGCCTTTATTGTTTTAAATTTTTCTCAATTTATTCCAAAAATTAATTTATATTCAAAATTAGATTAAAAAAAATAACACATTAACAGTCACATAACATAAAAATATTTTATTATATATTATTCACACCTCTTATTAGGACTGTGCAAAATACTGTACAATCTGCTAAAACCACACATATCCATACTAATCTGCAACGTTCTATCCGTTAACTGCGAATTAACCTTTATAATTTATAATCCGCCTTTGAAATCGCTCCAATTCACTATAGTTAATATATATACATACATATATATATATATATAAATTTTAACCTCTAATGAAATATCAAAGTAAAAATAATTGTGAGAGATATTTAAAATATGAAATTTGTTTCAAATTAATAGTTATATATATGAAACATATTATGAAAAATTAGTTTGTCCTACATATATGAAAAATATTATGCAAATTAATATTATATATTATGCAAATGTTTGATAATTGGTTAGAATATTTTTCAAGCTGCCAATTTGCTTAAAACCGCTCAAACCGCGATTTGTCAATCTATCAATTTGCCATTCAATTTGTAATATTACTTTCAAACCACCTGAATCGCATCACGCGCACCCCTACCTCTAACACAAACCTAAACTTTCATAAAATATTTTTTTGTGTTAGGTACCAATTAAGGTGGCATTTTTGTTTAACTTTGAACATAAGTAAACTGGGAAATTTTTTTAAAATATGAAGGGTTAAAACAAGAAAAAAATTTAGATGTCAAAGTGAGAAAATAGTTAAATATAAAAAAATAATGTGTAATTTACATATATTTTTTTATCAAATTAAAAACGTAAAATGATAACATGTTGGTTATATTTTTTTTTTATGAAATTTATTAAAAAGAGAAATTTGTGATAATAAAAAAAAAATTAATTTTTTTTATGAAAACTTAATTCAATGATTTAGGTAACGACTGCGGCAGCATGTCTCCATTTCTCACTTCACTACCGAGCATCGATGTCGACACACATCAAGAGTTGTTTTGTGGCTTTGCTCTGTATTTGTGGAATGTGTGTTGCGTATTTCTCTTGTTATCCTTTCTTTCCAATCCCTTCTTTTTTAATCGTATATGTTATTACATTGTTTAGAATTTCTTCTTTGATTCATGGTAGAAAATTTTCACAATGTTCATCAAATTTGAGTATTTTTTGAGTAGTTGATCTTCACTATTTTGAAATATGTATTCCTAGAACAAAATTGAAAGTCGAGCTATTGTGAGGAACAATGAAGAGTGGCTGACACTTCCGTGAGGATGAAACTCAGGGTCGTTGGACTCTCTAGAGTGATTTTTTTTAGAATAATTATAGAGTGATAAGGTTAGACTTTGAGAGTTGGAAGGTGAAAAGATTATTGTACCCTCCATTTTGGTAAAATTAAATCTTAATCATCTAAAAAATACTATAAGATCACTCTAAAAAAATACTATAGAGGATCCTCACTCCATCGAGGTTGTTGGGTATTTCGATCAAGCTAGGTAAAGATGATAGTGAATACGAGGAAGAGGAGATACAAAGATGAAGAGAGAGAAGAAAGGGGTTAGGGCCAAAACTCGCTTCTCTGTTATTACCGTTAGTAAGCCAAACAACATTTGGCGAGTGTTTGTTCGAAAATTCCAAGCCACGTCGTTCTACCTAAGCCTCAAATGTGCTTGCAATGTGGCAATTTCTAGTCTTTTGGATCTTTCAAAAGACATGTGGTGCATTGTGAAGAAAACGACTGGAGATGGCTGGGGTTTTGGATGGAGAGGATCCAAATCCCTTACAAACCTAATGAGATAGTGATGATGTGTAGTTTGAATTTTCTAGTGTGGTTTTGTTTTGAAGAATATTTTAGAGTAATTTTTTATAGGGTCCTAACGCCATACGTCTATTTATGAATTTTTTGGACCATTAGGCCCAAGTTCTAGTGTATTTTGGTCAAAATGGCACTATATATTGAAATCAACTCATCTGTCTATCTCTTTAAATCACTAAATTTGTCTATTTGTTAAAATTCACTAACCCTATTTTTTCATTTGTTAAAATTCACCAAACAACCTATCTGTTAAAATGTGATACATGTTACCCATTCAATAACACTCTATATGTTGAATATTATACATTTCTCTAATTCACCACTACCATTTACTACCGTCAGCTGGTGATGACGGTGATTTTTTCGACAAAATTTTCAACAACTTTTCCAATATGTCTTTATCATCAAATAAAATTTTCTCTTGGATCCAATGCCCTATACATTATTTAAGAATGATTTTTTCACCAATATTCTCTTTTTTATATGGTTAAAATTTTGGTAGTATTTGGTAGAGTTTTTAAATATAATTTGATAATAAAGTTGTATTTTGAGTTTGTGAGTTTTGGAATTATGATTTGAGTATGAAAAATTTGTTTGTTTATGAGTTTTGAAAAGAATTTTTGAATTGAATTTTGGAGAGAGTTTTGAGTTTTTGAAATTAGAAAAGTTATTTGATTAAAAAATTTACAACTTATAACCAAATACACAATCCAAAATTCTATTCAAAACTTATATAAAAATTAAAAAAAATCTGAAAATATTTTTTTATTTACAATATAAAAATAATAGGTGCCCAAGAGAAGAAAAAAAAAATCGAACACTGTTCCGGTCAACCGACTGGACGTCTAGATTAGCTAAAATTTTTCGCCTGAAAAAGAGTTTTCAAAAGTATGTGTGGAATTTTAATTTGAAAACTTAGGGATTGTTTGGGGTATCCTAAATAAGTGTACGTTTTGTCTTTTTAGACTAAAAAGTTGAGGAAAAAAATATGGATG